AGTCTCATCATATACACACTTAATTATATATACTCAGGTTTTTTAAAAAATGAGATTGAAGTAGGGACTGGAAATACAAATCAAAATGTTCTGAGACAGTTTGCTGAATGCATTTAAGCTTATAAAACATTCTAGATCTTAAAAAAAAAAAAAACTTAAATTTTTCATTATTCAATATTAAGTCTCATCATATACACACTTAATTATATATACTCAGGTTTTTTAAAAAATGAGATTGAAGTAGGGACTGGAAATACAAATCAAAATGTTCTGAGTGTATCCCTGGATGCAAGTTCTAGTAAGCACATTATAATTATTTTGTAACAGGGTGGTCCCCAGGGAAAGGGGAGGTTCCAGGTTCCCTGTCACACCCAAGGAAGGGTATAGCTGAGCAGGAAGAAAGGAGAGGCTTTAGAGGAGACTGGGAGAAGGAAGGAAGTGAGATGGAGAGCCAGAAGGTGACCTGGAGCAGGTACCCAGAGCAGAGAGACATGTGAAGAAGCTAAACTTCTTGGTCCTGGACTAGTTTAAACAGATGTGGGTGAGAGACCTATGGGGAAGTTAACTATGGCAGCTCTTGATTTTTATTTTGCTCTTTCCTTGTAGACTTGTCTGGCCATTTCTGACCCTTTTTATGGGTCCCTACCATCAGGTGCCTTAAACTTGTGGCAGGTTTTGGGCCTCAGTAGCCCTGTTTTTGTTCAACTCTGTTTGGCTGGGATGTTATCCAGGAGGGGATAGGTAACTTCAGGTGCTTGATTTGGAAATTATATTGTTTCTTGTCTTTTGTAAACTAATTGTATAAAAGTTTCCTTCTTATGAACTAGCTTATTTTTCCTGTTGATGTGGAGGATGGCAGGACTTATTTAGATAGAACATGCAAATTTGGGGGTTCTGGGATGCCACTTACCCTGCCCTGTAACAATTTCACATAATCATTGTTATGATTCTGTAGTATAATAATTATCATTCTCATGTACCTGAGTCACAAGAGATTATGTAACTTTCCTATTACCACATATTGGCATACATATGGGGAACACACATAAAAATGGCCCATGCAGTGTGAAAGAGGATACACAAATAGACAACTATTGTGTGACAGAGTTGTTCATATCCAATTCTGCATTTTCTGAATCATGAAGACTCATTTTCTGAATATTCACATTTTTAACTGAAAAGATCAAAATTTTCCATACTCAAATTACTTTCCAACTGTTTTTCTTCTCTGCCCCCCAGAAAGCAAACCTACAAATAAAACAACCTACGCTGAACCCATGCGTCAATCATCCCCCAGTGTTTCCTGACATGTATTTTTGCTTCCAGTTCATCACAACTAAAGAATGGGGCTCAACCTGACACTTGCAAAATTACCAGGTAAGTCACTGGAAAAAAAATACAAGAAACTTACTTCATCAACAGTTGTTATTTATTCTATGTAGCAAATTTGGGGTTTTACCAGTTACTGAACCAACAAATAAAGAAAAACAGCATTTAACCTAGAATTCATTAAGTATAAAATACTAAATATGGAGGATGATATTGCTAAGACAAATTTAACTTGCTTTCACTTTTGCTTTAAACTTTGTCTCATCTAGAGATAATCTACAAAAATAAGTGAAATTAAATAGCATATCAAACTTTCTATAGCCAAACTGAAGTGCATTTTACTTTCCAGATGGAATAGTCTAAACCAAGGTTCACTGGAGTTCCCAAGAAGGTCAAAGGCAGTATCTACTATTGTTAGGAATAACTATTTAGAAAAATGATTGTACAAAGACAGTAAGAGCAAGGAAGTGATACCTGGTCATTTGTGTTACTTTAGTATTTCATTCTCACCTAATTGGTGAGAACTTCATGTGCAGCTTTCCCAAGAGAAAATGGGTCAAGATTCTTCACCACTCTATCACTCATAATAGACTTGCTCTTAATGAGACACGTTGTAATCAATGCCCCTAGGATGGGCAAACACCTAAGTACTTGACACTGGACTGAAAATAATACCAGACGAGCCCTGGGGAGGTCCCAGCAAAGAGCCAACTATTAATTCCATTTTACAAAGTGACAAAGTGACTAATCCAGCAATGTCAAATAGGACTTTCTGCAATTATGAAAATGTCCTTTATCTACCTTGTCCAATAATAGTAGTAATATGTGGTTACAAATGTATGTGACCACAAACCCCATGTAAGTCTCCAGCCAACACACACACAATTGCACACATACAAACACACACACAGAAACCACCTCACCCTCACCTCCAAATACATACCTCTGTATCATTCTCACATAAACTGGCACAAAGTGATCATTTACAATGGGACTAGGTCATTGCCCTTATTAGCTTATTTTCCCAGCATGTTGGGAAATGGGGAAAGGGTAGCAAAGGAAATTGTATCCCAAATTATAACTGTATCATGTTCTGAATTAATACAGGAAGTAACATTTTAATAAATAAGGAATGTGAGAAAATAGCCTTTATACTGTAAAGATAGCTCAAAGTTTTTCATATTTGAATCATCAAGCTACCTATCATTACTGACAGTGAAAAACATGGTAAAACTGCCTGGTGAGGAGAACTACTCATAATAAATGGTAACTGTTCCTAAGCAGGAACAATGTGCAGAGAAATATTTTGGGTAATGTTGGAGCAAAAGAGAAGGAGAAAAGATGGTGGAAACTGTCAAGAAAGAATAGGACATAGATATATTTTATAACAAATTAATCAGATGAAACTCTTCATATGAAATTTTGAGTCTTCCACAGCAAACCACAGATGTCTTCCAATGATTTTTCCCCCTTTTTGCTACCATGTTATTTCATAAAATAACCCCAACAGTCTTTAACCACTAATTTGTATGAGTTGCTTTGTAAATGTGGAATCTGTAAATGAAGTAATAACCCAGCCCAGACCTATCCCACAGAATGAAAAAGTCCTATATTCCAAAATGCTAATCCCACATATAAACTAAGAAAGCAAGCACTATTAATGACACAATCAATAAGCCAAATGCCAGGCTGTCTCAAAGCCACAAGACTGTTCAGTAACCACTGTGAAATGAGGCCACTCATACCTGCTATTTATTTATGAGACTGCATCTAACATTCCGATTTAAGATTCCACCTATAATAACCATTACTAATTACTAATCATCATTTAATGAGAGTCTGTGTTCTTACACTTAAAACTTTAAATAGTGTGATATACTGAATGGACACATAGTCCCTAACCAATATTGAGAAGTATTAGTCCCTTCCATTTCACTACTGTGGAGTAGAATTCACGGCAATATTGAAATACTGCTATGGAATGTTCATGGCCAATCCAGTGAGCCAATGCTGAAAACTGAAATACTCCATGACTAGTATATTATAGTTGTGATGTACAGTTCTGTTTACATGTACAATGGCTTTGGATACCATTCATAAGAAACTGACAAAGCATAGCTATGGTTTTAGGAGGTGATGTAGCTTCTCATGCCACGTCCCTTAGATGAAGTACTTATCCTGATTAAAACACACTTGCTCTTTCTCTGCTTCCCATAAGGCTCTAAGTAGGTCCAATGAAAATGACTACAAACATTTTAAAACTATTAGTAAATAGGTGAAACCCCACATCTTATGAAGCCCCTAATGGTACAGATGCTGATAATGGATCCTGTGGTACAGAAGCTGCCAAGAGAGAAACACTGCAGTGAATCATATTAAGCTTGAGTGGATCCTGATACTATTCAAGACAATATTTCAAATTGGCAACAGTAACAGACATGGCAGCTCAATCAAGCATTTGAAACTTGTAAAGCTTAATAATACTGTGGGTCACTTATAACAGGCTAGTCCAGGTATAAATTACTAGCCTAGGTAAGGATATTTAAGCCAGGAAAACCAGTTTTTAAAAACACTTGTAGCAGTGAATAAAAGGGAAAGAATTAGAGACAATGTTACTCAAGAAGAGCCTATACTTAAATTTCAGGCAGCAATTTAAGAACCTGTTTTTGGATTATAATCATCAAAACTATCTTTCCTATTTTACTTCTTAAAAGAAGAGAACCAAAATATATACTACACTCCCTGTCATGGAGAGAAATGAGCGCTAGGTTCATGCTGTTACCTTGAAAAAGAAAAAAAAAGAAATCATCCCAAAATATAGCAGCAATTATAATAAATGAGTGAGAAGTAAAAATTCAGAAATGACTTTCCGTACAACACTACATTCAAAAAGTTCATTTTCAAATTGTGTTAAAAGATCAGATTATCAAGAATATCAGCTCATCAAATATGACTGGATAGCAAAAATATTTATTGAAGGACATCACAACAAGGGATTGAGGGTGCCAGTGAGATCCGGGCCCTGTGGAGACGGTGGGGTCCAAGCAGGGTAGGCAAGAAGACTCAAACTGCTTTGCCGCCTGAAAATACTTTGAGCAGAAATGAGTCCTCCTGACAAAGTTGTTTATCAGAGGAACCTCTCCTGCCTCAGGAACAGGATCATTGTAGGGTCCTTATTGGGTCTTGCTACTGTATGGGAACAGTGTATGGGACCATGACATGAGCAAGAGTGCACAGCTGTGGCCTGGAGCTACCCTTGCATGTATCTCCCCAAAGAGTACACCCAGTGACCAATTTTATGGCTGCCAAGTGAAATCCAATGGTCAAAATCTATTTTACTGATTATATGAACTGTAGTGTAAGTTACACCAACATCCCAAGAAAAAGCAAGATGTGTCAAAATTTTATAAAATAAATATGATAGGTAATCTAGCCTTGTAAATAACAATATATACCAGTCCACAATTATTAACAAGTTGTCCTCTTTGATAATAAAATAGAATATTAAGAATGATTGTTTCTTTTTTGTTTCTATTCCTAACAATGGTTTCACAATGCTCATTAAGTCATGGGTTTTCAAAAAAAAATCAAAATTTCCCATAGCTTTACTTTCCCAGTTTTTGATGACTTAAAGGTGAGAAGAGAAAACATATTTCAGATAGCATGCCAAAGACTACCCTCAAACAATAGTCATGTTTTAGTCACTGTATTTTCTTTTTACAGGAAATTCCAATTTTCTGCCTCTGGATTGTTGATTCTATTTGTAATTATCAAATGCCAAATTAAAAATAAGGGTCATTTTCACTGGTAAACTCATTTTATCTTCAAAAGGTTAATGTACACAACCAGAAAAATCACTCTTTACTCAAAGGACTCCATGCAGCAGGGTCTCGGAGTTGGGGTAGTGCCATCAGTATTTTCCCATTTAAAACCTAACAATGTATTGGCTCTCCCTGGTGGCGCAGCGGGTTAAAGCACAGCACAAAGAAGCTTAAGCCACTTCCGCATGAGTTCGATCCCTGCCTGCCCCAGAGGTGACCACATGGAGCGGCAGACCTCTCCTGACCGGCCCGCTGCTCCCCTCAGCAGTGTACTTCGTTGATCTGTCTGTTCTGTTCCCCACTCTGTCCCTGGTGAATCCTCTCACCCTCCGCAACTCTGGCCTGTACCCCAGTTCTGCTTGAATAAATAAAATAAATCTTTAAAAAGAAAGAAAGAAAAAAAAAAACCTAACAATGTATTAACCTGGGTCTTCAGCTGCTGAAGACATTTTTAAATTCATCCAACTGAACAACAGTTCAGCAGTAAGTGAACCTGGCTGTATGTGGGGCATGAACAGAAGCACTGGAGTGACGTCTCTCCACTTCTCCCACAGATAATGAGCTACATGGCCACGGGAATCATGCTCCAAGCAACACAAGTGATGGATGGAGAAAAAACATCACCGCTAACAACGAGTTTGACACAATTGTCTTGCCTGTGCTTTATCTCATCATATTTGTGGCCAGCATCTTGCTGAATGGCCTGGCAGTGTGGATATTCTTCCACATCAGGAATAAAACCAGCTTCATATTTTATCTCAAAAATATAGTGGTTGCTGACCTCATAATGACACTGACATTTCCATTCCGAATAGTCCATGATGCAGGATTTGGCCCTTGGTACTTCAAGTTTATCCTCTGCAGATACACTTCAGTTTTATTTTATGCAAATATGTATACTTCCATCGTGTTTCTTGGGCTAATAAGCATTGACCGCTATCTGAAGGTGGTAAAGCCATTTGGGGACTCTCGCATGTATAGTATAACATTTACAAAGGTTTTATCCATTTGTGTTTGGGTGACCATGGCTGTTTTGTCCTTGCCAAATATCATCCTAACAAATGGTCAACCTACTACAGAAAATGTCCATGACTGCATGAAATTTAAAAGTCCCTTGGGAGTCAAATGGCATAAAGCAGTCATTTATGTCAACAGCTGCTTGTTTGTGGCAGTGCTGGTGATACTGATTGGCTGTTACATTGCCATATCAAGATACATCCATAAATCTAGCAGGCAATTCATAAGCCAGTCAAGCCGAAAGCGAAAACATAACCAGAGCATCAGGGTGGTAGTGGCTGTGTTTTTTACCTGTTTTCTCCCATACCATTTGTGCAGGATTCCTTTTACTTTTAGTCACTTAGACAGACTTTTGGATGAATCTGCACACAAAATCTTGTATTACTGCAAAGAAATGACACTTTTCCTGTCTGCATGCAATGTGTGCCTGGATCCAATAATTTACTTTTTCATGTGTAAGTCATTTTCAAGAAGGCTATTCAAGAAATCGAATATCAGAACCAGGAGTGAAAGCATCCGATCCCTACAAAGTGTCAGAAGATCAGAAGTCCGCATATATTATGATTATACTGATGTGTAGCAATTAAAGATTACTAGGTCTTCTGCTTGTTGAAAAAAATTAATGTGTACAAAGTGTAAATAAATGTTTCTTTTGATTATATTTGATTCAATCCATCAAAATATGAGAAAAATAAAAATGGAATGAAATTTGGGGAAAATTTGGAACTAAAAAAATCATTAAAATTTAAGGCATAAAAAAATCAGATCAATAACAAGTAACGTGTGACTGAGAAACAGGGCTTATGACTCAAAACTGAAGGAGAAGATTGTAGAGGCAGAAAGGCCACGATAAGGTCATTATGCTACCACTGTCTTCCAGGAAATGCTGCTGCTCTGAAACTGTATTTATAGAAAACAGAGAGTATAGAAAACAGAACTCTATCTAGACCTAGGGTTTAAGATTGAAGGTAAAAACACGGCTCATACTGCAGACCTAACTAAGTAAATATGATTGCTCCTCTCTATTACACCCTCTAGAACCTTCACTATATGTTTCAGTGACTGAAGCACATTAGGAAAACTTGCATATAGTGGAGGTAGGTGGGAAAAGATTTTTTTAAAACTAGTTTTTTTTTTAAGCAATGAGTTTTAAAGACTGAGTTCAATTAACTAATTTTAAACTGGAGACATTTCAGAGAGAAAAAAGTAAGTAGACCTTGAGTGAAGTAATCTGTGTTTATGTTTGCCATCATTACAACTCTATGCTGCCTTTACATTTTCATGAGCAAGGAGTAGAAAAAAGAATGTGAGGGATTGTTTATTAACAGTCCAGTATATTGGCAGCATTCCTTTTCACAAACTATTTGCTTTTGAAAGGCAGCAATTCACTGATTTCTGCCCGCTTCTATCTGTGCCAGCACCTTCATTCCATTTCCTAAAAACCCATCCTTTTAAAATTTAAATAAATAACAATCCAGTATAGTTCATCAAGAAAATACTTAATAGTCTTTATTTTAAAACAAATATTAGTAAAATAATTTCCCATTAAAGTACATCTCACCCTTATTAGATATAACATTCACTTAAAAATATAACCTTCAGATGAAAAACATATTTCATATGTCAGTTCAAAAAAGAAGGATAACCTTTTAAACCTTGGACTATTTCCCCCTTCATCAATAAAAAACTCTTGCTTCTTTATTCTTTGTCAAAATCTTCAATTTATTGAACACTGATTAAGCACCTGATTTACTCCTATAAAAACTGTAATGAGTTTGGTAGCCACTAAAAGAGAAAGAGTGGAGGTTTGTTTGCAGATAAAAAAAGAGGGTACTAGGGTTAACAGAAACAGAGAACACACATATATAAAATAGTTTATTTAGACTCCTGTGAACTGTGTGCAAAATTCTAAAAAGTTAATGTGAGCAAAATAAAGACACAAAAGATAACCTAGCATTGAAATAATTATCATTTTAAGGCATAAGATCTGAATTCAGAGACTGCAAAGTATCTAGCAGGTGTCAACTTTAGCAGTGGGGTTGGTGTCAATGGAATTAAAAGATTAGCTAAGTAAGTCTATCGAAATATCAATCTCTCCATTAAGATTCTTATGCCATCAATTATACCATTAATTCTGTTATATTAATTATTCCAGTCATAGAACTTTATTTTCATTTCCAAACAGTGTGCCAGTATTTTCTTTCTCAGCTAACATAGCAATTTACAGATTAGTATGTAACTCTTAATCATTTGCATAACTACATTCTCCCTCAATTGTGTGACACTAAATAGGTCAAGACAGTTATGTTTTCAAATAGCTAGTGTGAAAAGACAGCTTGAAAGGCTAATGTATTTCTCCACCTTCTCTATAGTGCCCAAGATGAATTATAACCATTTCATATAAAGAGGAGGAGCAATAAGGCAGCTGGGAAAATTCACCAAGTAGAATGTGTCCCTATCCTCCCCTTGGTTCACCATATCACAGCTCCAAGAAAAACCTCAAAAATGGTAATACCCATTTTACCATGTGTGTACCTGTTATTTAGTACATGTTCACCTTAAATCCCAATACTAAAAAATTATCACCTTTTATAAAATCAAAGGGTTTCATCTGACACTTTGGAATTTACCAAACACTTCAGTACGCCAAGACATAATTTAATATTCGAATTCAGGAGTGAAGTCTAAAAGGTCTTTAAAACATATTGACTCTCATTTAAAATATTTTAACTAATTTTAATATTGCTAAAAGTTAACTGCTTGATAGCATATTTAAGATGATGGTAGGTAGGACATCTTAAAACAATCGCTTAGAAAAAAATAAAGAATATTTTCCCTTTTTAAAAAATGCCACAAAAATACAATTAAAATATAAGAAAAACAAATCAAGTAAAATATACTGTTTATATGCCTAAACTGTGGTCATAAAAATTACTTATCCAGTCCAACCAGGAATCAATCATTCACATAAGTAAAATAGAACAATATCAATTGGGGTAACAAATATAAATGATATATTGTATCAGAGGCTAATGCGAATACTATATTACTATTGAAAACAAAGACTCTTACTTGATTTCTTAAGAATTATTTGGTAGTCTGAAAATAATCTGAAATCTCAGATTTCTTAGATAGAACCTTTTAATTTATTCAATATTTCAGTAGTTTCAGAATTTATTCAGGCAGCAATAAATTATCCTTTCTTTTATGCAGACAAGAAACATTCAGATAATTTCAAAAAAGAAAAATTCAAATAAACTAAGAAAATCTTTCAGTGTTAACATTATACCATTAATTTTGTTATATTAATTATTCCAGTCATAGAACTTTATTGTCATTTCCAAACAGTGTGCCAGTATTTTCTTTCTCAGCTAATGACTCAAGGAAACAGTCACTAGAAAAATCCATAAAATGAAATGAAAAAGCTAAGATAAAATCATGTGTGTGCACGTTTGCGCAGAAGAGCATAGTTTAAGCATAAATTTTATGATCACTGTGGTGAAAAGTAATATGCTACTAAAAAATAAATTAAGAAAATGAGAAAATCATAAAAGGAAATTTTTTTTTATCCCAAACAAAACAAGAAGTTAGCTATTAAGTTAATAACAAAACAAAAAGTTAGCTAGTAAGTTAATAATTAACTACTTACTAGACAAACACCAAATAAAATCAACACCAACACTATGTTGCTAAAATTATATTTGGGTATCTCTAAGTGAATTCCAGAAGTGGAAATTAAAGTGTTTTTTAAGATACAATATTTTCTAATTTCAACATAATACAATCATCTGGTAGCTAGCATAACCCCTAGCCCTCTATCACCACCTATTGGCCAATTTCAAGAAGAAAAGTTTATATTCTGTAACTAAGCAGTAATGGGCTTAGCTCTTGCTATTCTTCCTTCAGTCATGCACACACATAAACACCAAAAAAGGTCCTAGGGCTTCCTTGAAAAAAAACAGTAAGATGACAAGTTTAAAGGAAAATTAAAATCCATGATAAGTGATTGTATAGATGTAGGAAAAAATACTAAAACTATAGCTGTGACACATTAGTTTCATGCATAAATGCTACACAGACTGCTTTTTCCTAACTAATATACAAAATAATAAGAATATAATATAATTTATCTATGGATTCAAAGTAGATAAAATTATTATCAGAGATAAAGAAGTCAAACAGAAGTCATCAGTGTCGGTGGGAACATAGACCAATTCAAAACCTAAGGTAAAACAATATGGAGGTTTTACAAATTATTAAAAAGGGATTTGTCACCTGATCCAGCAATTCCACTCCTTGGCATATACCCAAAGATGCAAAAACACTATTTTAAAGGGATACACACGATGTGATGTTCACTGCAGCACTATTTACAATATTCAAGTTATAGAAACAACCTAAGTGCCAAAGACAAATGAGTAGATTAAAAAGAGGTAGTACAGATACGAGAATGAATGCTACTTAGCTTTAAGAAAAAATAAAAAGGAACTCTTGTCATTTGTAACAAATGGTTAGAACCAGAAAATATCATGCTTAGTGGTAAGCAAGGATCATACCAGTGAGAAAGACAAACGCTGGATGATTTCACTCAAATATGGACTATAGAAAAACAAAACAGAGGAACTAATAAAACTAAAATTAAACTCAAGAAAGAAACTGAGGCTACCAGAGAGAGAGGACTGGCGTGGGAACAAAGGGGGAGGGACCCAATGGTATATTGTGGGAGGATATGGGTGCTCTGGGGTGGCTGTGGTGTGGTAATGCACAGCTGGGTGGCTAGGACCTCTCCCCTGCATCACATACAGTAGTCGTAAGCCAAAGTTACCTCAATAACAATTAAAAAAAAAAAAAGACTACTGTCAATGTTAACATTTTTATTTCATTTCTCAAAAAAAACCCCACGGGATTTCTGTGGACCCCTTTTTTTAAATATTCTTTCATTCTCCCTATAACCACAACAAGATATCACTTAAAGTTATTTTTTAAAAAGTAAAGTGTAACTTCTGCTAGACCACAGACTCTTCATGTCATTTGAAAATAGTATGTAGAGCTAAATCGGGATTTTCTTTATTTCAAACAGGTTTATTTTTTTAAGCAAACATTCTTAATAAGACTAATGTAGTCAGTTTCTTAGAGCCAGAGACTGTCCAGGGTCAGAGTCTGGGCAGACTCCACAGCAGCAGTCAGCAAGGAGCCGGAGCCATGCCTGTAGCTAACTCACTATAGCACAAGAAAGAAGTCTAGAATAGTTACCTAATTGCCCAGGGCTTAATCTTCAAGTACAAGTACAGTTTTAAATGGTATAAGGAAGATTTTCCAATACACTGTGAACACACATACATTCATATCCAGACAGACATACATGTAGAACTAAATTTTCATTTAGGCACATTCTTTCCCCATACCTCCTGCATGGGTGTAGGTAAATTTGCCTAATTGACTTGTCCTGGCTGCACATCTAGAGACTCAACATTCCCAGTCAGGCACCTTTTTACAGTAACACTGACATTTGATTGAATATGCTGTTATCACTTTTCATTTCTTTGCTATACTTTCATTTTCAATGGTCAACTCTTCCAGTCATCTATTATGCAGAAGGCCAAGGGTTTTATGACTGGTAAGCAAGGAGCCTACATAACTACACACTTGGCAATCTATG